AAAAGTACATGAGGAATCTCTAAAACGAAATACGCAAAAATCAATCGATCAATTATTATACTGTACAGAGAATACCATAGTAAAGCGTTCATAGGCCACACATAAATTCTGAGCAGCTATTTCGGGGTGAAAAACTGCAAAGCCTGCAAAAAGTAGAAAATAATTCAAGAAAAACTCTGCTTATACGCAGAAAACCAGCAAATTTTCCGAATGAAAAATTCCCCTTGGTGGAGGAAAAAAAAGTTTCACTATTACGAAAATCCGCAGAATTTCAAAAAGTATTATGAATTCTGGGTGGGGACAGAGAAATGGGCACGCACTTCTGTTTTTGGGCTTGATATCTTAAGAAACTGTCTTTCATAATTGATCATGTCAAGTGCAACGTCTCGCAAATTTTTTTATTGCTCCAATTATACTTTTCTGTCTCGGGTATCTCGAAAAGCTTGATATCTTCGAAATTTATTAGCTCAAACGCTGTCTTCGAAAATTTCGTCAGCCACATATTGCAAAATGTCATGGGAACGGGTAAGGTTTGCACATGTGCTATTTTTTGCTTCGTTGCTTTTGATACGCGCTCAATCATCCGGCAATGCTCTTTGGTTTTGTTTTCGGTCTAAAATCTCAAATTTGGGTTAGAAGAACGCAAACAGATCCCATTGAGGGAAAAACATTCAAGCACACGCAAGCAAAATTAAAACAAATACTGCAGTGATAATCGAAAATAAAACTTACACGAACAACTTTCATGCCAGAAAACTGAACACAAACTTGAAGAGAAACGATTCGTTCACAACATTTCAAAAATGCAAGAACTCGTAGTCGAACGGCACATGTTGATTATAGCATACAATCAACGTTTAAAATTGGATGTATTTTTTAAATTTAACACGTCATCGAGTCGATTCGAGAAAGTCTCCCCCATACGATGTTTCAATTGATATTATTTCAAGTCGTCTTGAAGAAAATGCAAAATTGACGCAAACATTCAATTCAGTGAAAAACCATCGAAATTAAGTCTAACCTACACCTGAAAATTTTGTAATTTTCAGTGATTAATGATCAAGGCGTCGATCATTTATGAATGACCAGCTTTGATAAATTTATCATTCATGCTGATTTCCTATCACAAAAACAAACAAAAATTTATCATGATCGACTGCGCTTAATTGAAATCTGAGTACACTTATTTGAATAAGACTCAAGCTCAACCTTGAAGAAAATCACAAAAGAGCTGTCACGGAATTTCTTTCGAATCACAGAAACACAAATCAACTTTTCAGGACGATAAAGATGAGCCTTATAATCATAAATCAATTGAATTAATTTTCGTTCGATCCTAAATCCGCGTTTCCATCGTTTTTTGTCCGAAATACGGTCTAAAGTTCTCTGGTCCTCTCTTTTTTTCACTTGAAAACTTGAAGGATTTTTTTTGTCTTTGAGTTGAAGAAATATGTTAACATTTGAATTTGCAGAAGAAACAACGTCCTTTAAAAATACAGAATTAAAAAAAACGCGGATTCGCAGGACTGGATATACTGACCCATTGGATGATGTCTGACTCTTGTGCCCATGGGCACTCACGTGCCGCATCGGGGCCTTGGGAAGCGGGGCATGTGGGTTCGCCGGGTTCGACACTGACGAGTCCGACGCACTCCTACTCAGAGACTCTTCCCCTTCGTCAGACAAACTGTGGCGCTCCGACGACGCCGTCGAGCCTCCCGTCCGATTGTTGAGGCTATGGTTGTTGTTGTTGTTATTGTTGGACTGGCCTCGCATCGGCGGGCTGAGGCCGGCCCTGCGGCCAGGGCCACCTGTGCCCGGCGTCACGGCCGGGTTGGCCGTCTCTTCCAGCATGTGCTGGTAGTGGACGAGTTCTTTGCGGAGACGGTCCAGACGGACGCCGCTCTCGGACAGCTGGCCCTCGGTTGACGCGGGGTCTCCCAGGGCTGGGCTCGACGTGTACACCTCCTTCATCCGCATCAGTGCGTCCCTTTATTCAAGAAAAAAATAATAAAATAAATAGCTCGTTTACGTATAACACCATCAGCTCCTGAATTGCATCAGTCAAGCCACGAAGTGCTCGTATTTACTTGAGTATACCTGTTTTTCTCAAATTTGAGATGGGAAAAAAGGGGGTGCGCGTCAGAAGCAGGTATACATTTTTCAAAACGTTTTAAAAGTTTAGGTGTGCATTATACTTGATTCTAATAGGAAATTTTGGACATAGTTTAAAAATGGAAAATTAGTTGACTTCAGGTTCAATTCATGACCAACTTCAAATTTGGGTATTCTTATTTTGGAATATTGCAGCATTACAGGCACTAAACTTGGAGTGCGCGTCTTACTCGTGGATACAATTTCATCAAAGTTCATGACTGAAAACCCCTGGTATACTCGAGTAAACACGAATATTTCAGTTATCAACTAGGATTTCAACGAATACACAGAATGATTTTTTAAAATTGGACATTCGAATCCACTTTTTATTCAAAAGATTGCATGGGTAAAAAGTAATCATAAACTTAACGTGCTAATCTGAGACGCCATCGGATATAATCAGCATAATAAATTTTATTCTATGGTCAAATTCGGAAAAACCTTTTTCAACACTGGAATAAATAGGAAACATAAAAACTGACTCCACGTCCTCATCAACGGAAAACTGAAGACCAAGAAAATAGATTTTCCCTTCAATCTGGGAAAAAAATAATTCCGACATCCGACGAGTTACGTTGTAATCCTTCTTTACCACTTTTTCCGCAAATTTTCGATTCAGGAGTCTTTTCAACAAATAAATTTATAACAGACTTCACTATAAACCTAGAACACGCTGCAGAACTCGAATGATATCCGTACTTAAGATTATTTTGCAAATCAGTTCTGTTCACGAAATATATTTCTGCAATAAAATATTCGATCATCTTATAATCCAAGCTATTCATTTCTATGATCGGCTATTTTATTTATTCATTTATTTTTGCGGAAGAACACTTGAAGACTTACGGTCAACAATGGCTGAGAAGCATTGCTCTCAACTGTTATTTTTCACCAAGTGTATAAGTACCTTAAGACATTTTGATTCAAGAAAAAAAAACAGACCTTGTAGCTGTTTCTTGCTGAATTTTAGCATTCAGTTCTTCAAGCTTCTGCTGCACTTTTTTCCGTCTCTGATTCGGCGGCAATTCACTCCAATCCTCCTTCGCATCCGGAAACGGAGACGCGTTACCATTCTATCGAAAAAGAGACAATAGCAAATTCAGTGAGAGAAGGAGAAAAACACGTCACTTCTCTCTCTCTTTCTATCTCCTCCCTCGCAAAAAGCAGGCCCCCTTCCTCACACTTTTTTTTTCAGCACACACCGCAAGCAACGCGACGAAAAAAAATAAAAGCATGCAAAAGCAATGTCGCAAAAAAAAAAACATCGCTCGGGATTTCCGTTTAAGGCAGTCAGCCCACGCCACAGCAAACGCAAGGAGTAAACGAAAGCATTTTTTTAATATTTTCGGTGAGCGGTGCTCGTGGCTGAGACAAAGACATACGAAATACTCACGCGTGTCCCAACAAAGCGAGTTTCGGGTCGCCGTCGTGAATTTTGCAAAACGCACCCGACGAGAAACGATTTTCGTTCCCGTTCAGTTCAGTTCAGAACGACCCCAACACGGACAGTAAGAAGAAGGTCACAGGAAAAGAAGGAAAAACAATATTCGTGTGAAGAGAGACACTTTCGTAAATTCCCATCAATTAGATCGGAAGAAATGAAAAGAATTGAGTACAGTGTAGTACAGTATTACGAATGGCCAGAACCCCCCAATTTCATGCACATTTTTGAAAGGCCTGCTAACGACGATTGGTTTACAAATTCTGTCAGTCTTGCGTTTCCTTAAAATGAATATCCTTTTCCTCGAAGTGAAAATCGAGAATTTTTCTTTGAAAAAATCAACAATTTCCAGTTTAATTTGAAGAAAATA